TTTTATGACAGTGGTGCTGAAACAATGAAAGACAAATATCAGCTATGTTGATAAAACAATTCTCAAATCTATCATTCCATCGCTCCCTTTGTCTTTCTGTCTCTGAGGATCTTTTCCTCGGTCTTTGTCAGCCTCCGCCTCCGGTTTTCTCTTTAAATTTCACTGCTGTCAGTCTGAGCATCCGCTGCTTTTTCTGTCATTGAAAGCTTCAAACAGCGACGCGAGACCTGAGAAGGTCATTTCTCTTCATCGTGAGATCAAGGTGACTGTTCCACCCACAGAACTTACACACATGCACACGTAGGAGTTCTCCTCGACAGAATGTCACTGTCAGTCTGCAGTTGTCAAGGGGATGGGACTAAAAGGTAAAAGGTCTTCTCGGGGTCGAGGGAAGAGGGGACATTGATGATGATTTTGTCCCAAAAGATCCTCCTGACAAATGCTGAAGCCCGTTCTGACCGTGACGGAAACATCCCCCTGATTCTGGTCTCATACTTTGACGTCATACCAGAATACCAGAAGTGAGAGCTCATGCGAAGCCAACCCGCTCAACGTTTGAAGCATTTGATTCGGCTTTAAATTGTTTTTCTTTGTTACATTCAGGCAGGTTATGAAAAAATGGCGGCGGCGAGTAGGAATCAAATTATATTTGGAAACATCTTGTGTTAATCCCCACTAAACTGCAGAATAATATTACAGCCTTTTCACACTCATTGTGCACGCACAAAGGTGTTTCCAGTAATTAGACCTCTTATCTGGACTCGCTGACATTTTCCTCACTATTTGAATAAAGCTTTGGTCTAGCACGCTTCAGTCTCAATATTCACTTGTACTCGCATTGATTTGAACTGATTTGATTTGATGTGAACTTTGATGCTGAAATTAAGCCAATTAGCTGTGTAGCAACATTGACTTTTATTTAATCTACAGGGAAAAAACGTAAAAGAGCAAAGCAACCCTTTGCTCCAACGAGTCCTGCTGGTAGACACGGCGTCAAAGTCTGGGGCCGCACCTATTTCACATGCATTCGCCATTGTCACTCTGTGATGTGACCTTTAGTGTCCTCGTAAGGGAGGGACCACTTAGTTTGGTGAGGTTGTATAATTCTGAGCCCTGCTCCGCCCGTATCAAACCCCAGTATGGGTCTAATCCAATCGATTCAATGAAGAACACCCGTGTGAGTGGACAGGGCCTTTGACACATGATTAAATCCTCCTAGCGGGTTCACGGTAAAGTGACAAATTTAACCTACTGTTTTTGTTTCTCCGGTGTGGTTGTTTCGAGCACCAAACTAATCTCATCTTCTCCTCTAAGAGGCGATACAAAGTGAGGAAAACATTACTCACTGCCTGCTTCTGCACTACTCCTCACCCCGGGGCTTGGTGTTGAGGCGGGGGGGGGGAAACAGACTGGGAAGGTGTGTGTGTGTGTGTGTGTGTGTGTGTGTGATTTTGATGGTGCCGTATTCAAACTTTGATACACAAACCCTGCGCCTTTCCTCTGCGGAGGTAAGAAACTTTAGTACATCCAAAATTTGAAGTTTGGCAGACCCTACACAGCAAAATGGACAGACTCAAATTAACACTATTGGAGTTAATTTCAACACTTTTAAAGTGTCCCATGGGGTCCACACTACACAGTGTCAATGTAAACACTTTTTAAAGTGTTGCCATTTTAACACTGTTATAGAGTTAATTTTAACTCTTATATAGTTGAAATTTAACAATACTCAAGCGTTAGTTTCTCAACACCAGTGGTTAGTGTTAGAAATTAATACTCATGGGAGTCATTAATTAACTCTTATGGTGTGATGTGCATACTATGAAAGAAGTTGCCCCATTAACACTATAAAGTGTTATTGCTGCCCCCCCCCCCACACCCACACAAAAAAAAATCTTTAAATGAAATGTCAATAATTAGAAATACAAATGACAAGTTCACTACTTTAACATTTTTATTTCTTCAAATGCATCAACATTACCAAATCTTTTTTCATTGCTGTACATTTATCTAAATGTAACAATAAGGCACTATGTACGCTCTTTGACTTTTGTCATTAGAGCATTGCTTGTCAAATGGTCTAAAATAAGTCAGTGCCTTCACAGATATGACAGAAAACACATTCATTTGGTCTTCTATACAGTATGCACTAAAGTGGTCATCATAGTACATTGTTGGTAAATTACTTGAATCCCGCCTAGATTGTTGCTCTCACGAGATTATTGTTCGCGCGATGCCAGAGGGTAGTCACTCCTTACACCCGAGCTGAGAGACTGACGACCCATAGAGTTGGTTTCACAATAACAGTAATAACACTCCATTTTGACACCAACTCTTTTGTGGTGCAGTGTGAAATCAAACAGATTTAACAACATACAGATTTAAATCAATTCCAAATAGAGTTCGATTGACTCTATCTTTATCAACACCAGAAATTTAACTCTGGTCAATTTGCTGTGTATGCCTTAGCGGAATGATTTTAACATTCACGGTGTCTCATTCAGATATAAAACACCCTTTAAAAACATCATAGATGGCATGAGAGGAAAGATAAAAATAACAAAGATCTTCTTTCATGATAATTAACCTGAATATTATATGGTATCATTTACCGTTATTTTTAAACTTTCTTTTGTCTACTCATGATTTGTTTCAGTCGTGAACCTGGGAATAAAATCACTAATACAGTATCGAAATAGCTCAGCTATTAACTAATTGACTCATTATAGTCAGCAGAACAATGATGCTTGAAAACCTCAGTCCATAACAAACAAAAGGCTGTATGTTATGGCGTTATATTTGTGCCACAATCCTGAGCGCGTAATTTTAAGTTTTGAGCACAGAGAACTATATTTTAGCAAAGAAAAACATATTCCGTGCGCGCAGTTTACTCAGGTGCCCTCGCCACAAACTGGTTTTCTGCGCGCAGGCAGCCGTTGCTGCGCTCGCGCCACCTCTTCACGCTGCGCTCGCTCGACGGTTCACTCACGCGCTCGCTCGACTTGCAGCAGCGTTACATTTGTGCCACAAAACCAACCAATCAGAGAATTAAAGAAGGTCCATTGTGATTGGCTGTTGGTCTCCAATCACAACGCTTCCTAAAGAAGACGAAAACGAGTGATATTAGAAGTCCGACTAGCCACCATCAGACATGACCGAAGCAAATGATGAGAATAGCAAGTGTTTTAATCCAGGCCATTAGCATTTAGCACAAATGCTGCAAACTTCAACAACTCGCTGAGCTACCGCGATGCTGTAGGTAGTTCTACTAGCGTTGTGATTGGAGACCAACAGCCAATCGCAATTGACCTTCTTTAATTCTCTGATTGGTTGGTTTTGTGGCACAAATGTAACGCTGCTGCAAGTCGAGCGAGCGCAGAGCGAACCGTCGAGCGCGCGCAGCGTGAAGAGGTGGAGCGAGCGCAGCAACGGCTGCCTGCGCGCAGAAAACCAGTTTGTGGAGAGGGCACCTCAGTAAACTGCGCGCACGGAATGTTTTTCTTTGCTAAAATATAGTTCTCTGTGCTCAAAACTTAAAATTACGCGCTCAGGATTGTGGCACAAATATAACGCCATAGTATGTATCTACTCAATTAGTTATGCCTTTCTCAGTCAGAATATGGTCAAAGAGGATTCAAATGATGACTTCATGGTATGTTATCTTCATAAAGTTCTCATGTTAATGAATAAACTTAACTGTAGAAAACAATCCTGAACCCGAAGCCAAACGAGCTCCCTCGGGGGTCATTTCCCAAGAAACACACAACCCACAATCAAATGGCCAAATACAGTCTTTCACAAAACCCCCATTAGTGCTGGGACATTCTGCCGCACTGTTAAAGGATATTTAATTTGGTCTGTATCATAACCAGAACACGACAAAGACCAGAAGAGCTGGTGGCCATTAATCTCTCGAGATGAACTTTCACAACTGCCGGAACGTTCTCGGCTCTCTTCCTCTTTCGAACACACTCCGCGGGATGTGATGGATGTCCTCTCTTCCCGTTGTTTCTCATCATCTCAGTGTGTGCAGCAAGGAAAGAAAGGGAGAAAGTACTTCCTGCTGATCCCAATTTGAACTCCCTCTTCCTCGTTCTTGCACTGCTCTGCTCTCGAGCTTCTCTTTCCCGCCTTCCACACGATCTATACCTGATGAGCTCTAACAGACTGACTCAATAAATGAACCCAAATTAGTTTCATCGATTGCAGTACTCCGTTGCGACTCTACGCTGGAAAGATGATTCCTTCACTGTGTTTAACTTGCTACTAAAATGTCACCTGCTCTCATTTGTTCCAATTCAGTCTCAAAGATGAGGTAGTAGGGAAAATACAAAAAAATGTGCAAAAACTCATGTTGGAGGCTTAAATTGGGCTCAGCAAACATCTAGAAATATGCCGCTATAACCGGGATCAACAAACAATAAATGAGTGTCGCCAATGATTTGTGACATAAGGTCGGTCAGTCAGAAAAGGAAGTTAGCGTCTTGTTCGCTTTTCAGCTGAGACCTGCGACAAACACTTTGACAACAGATGTCAAGACCCACATTTGTAAATAAATCTATATGTATGCTACAATTTGGAGTTCTAATTTAACTGCTTCGTTTAAATGTTGAACTGTTATTCAAGCAAGCTGGTTTGAAAAAAGATTTCACACGCCTGCCAACATGAGTTGCTTTATTTATTTATTAAGTATAACCTATTAGCCTGGTGTATTATTTATATTCCTGGATTAAGTTACTTCATATCTGGCTGAACAAGGGACATTTGTATTTTTAAAGCAAATACCTTTGTTGTTGTCGGGCCTTAGCAAGACTGACTCACTTTTCACAACATGCGGGTTGAACTGAAATGAACACAGAAGCGACGGCTGCTCTAAAAGAGCTGGTGTGCTTTGGAAAACGGGGCCGACTGAAGAAACAGGTACAATATAAGCCATTTGTATTTAACGGGACAATTTGGGAAAGCACGGTGAGGTACGCTAAACTTTCTTTTGCAAAAAAATAGCAAGTAAGGGAGACCAAAAGCGACCATCGGCTGGACTGACGACGCGGCTGCAGCGCTTACCTCGAACACGCTGAGGGCAAAGGGGTGTCCCAGGTGCTGCTGGGAGGACAGCAGGACTTTGCGGTTGTCCCCGTTCAGATCCACACTGGACAGCAGGTGCAGCTTTGAGTCCACCCAGTAGAGACGCCTGTTGGACAAGTCTGAGACGACGGAGCAGGAGAAGAAAGAGGCAGGCAGAACAAGGGGGGAAGGAGCAAGAGAGGTCATTGCATGAGAGAGGGCCCACAGTGTGAGTACATGAATGTAACGGCTCAGTAGCCACACCATCAATCTTCTTTGACGTGACGGCGGAGGCCCTGAGAGAACACAGATGTGATTGTAATGTTGTCGGTTGACTTCTTTGCAGGGAAAATATATACGTGCCCTTGAGCAAATTGATTAGTGTTGCTGGACTTACGTCGAAAGAAACACTTTGCTGTTTTTCAATTCTACCACCATGAATTGTTTTCCTTTTTTTTTTTAGGACTCAATGTTTTTTTCTCCCGCTCTATACCACAAAGTATAGATTCCATCATGTTAAAAGGGAAAGGACGGAGTCCAAGTACGACTCTGCTTTTTATCAGGAATGTTAAATAAATAAATATCAATAAATAGTAAAAGGTCATGAACGCAGCATCGAAATTAAATTAAAATAAAACGTTCTCACTGAGCTTTTTAAAAGGTCGATTCACTTGTTTTCCAGAAGTTCATCTGTATAACCCTCAGGTGAAACTGACTTATTATTTAATTATTCAATTGATATAATATATAATTGAAAGTTTGCTGACTAAACCTAAAAAACAAAAAAACAAAACTCTCCTTCAACATGACCATATAAAAAGAACAGAAATTCATTACAAACTTCTGCCCCCCCAAATCAGACATCATTTTTGTTCGGCTCTATATGAAATCAATAACTAGGGGAAATCCCCTCCTCCTCCTCCTCCTCCTCTTCTTTCACAGCGGTCTGGCCAACTCTCTCAATCGCCATACTCTAAAAAATAATTTGTTTTCATACAGATGTAGTGACACGTCCACAGAGTGCGGTAACTGCGAGCCTCTTTTTCTCCTCGGACGTGGGCAGCTGGGAGAAATTGGCTGTTGCCACGGAGGGAGATGAAAGGGATGATGGGAGGTATCGACGGCACAGTCGGGTCTGGCTTATTAATTCGGGCCCGTGTTCGCTGGCTTGATTGATGAGAGCCAGACACAAACTGAGCTGTAACAATGAGAGCTACTCACTGGTTGCAGCACCCCTGGACGGTTTCCTTTGCTGTTTGCCTCTCTGTTTCTTTCTGTCCCGCTGTCGCTGTGCTCATATGTTTCTTCGTCTTGTATTTACTCAAACCCAAATGTGTTTCCTCCCTCTCCAAAAGCAGCATCAGCATTATACCTTAGATTATACTGCGGTCTCAGAGCTGATTGATTTCCCCGTCCCTGTATCAACAGGCCCGGCATGGTAGCCTAATGTTTTCTGTCTCTCCTTACCCAGAGTGATTCCATTGGGCCACTCGATGTGTTCGGACACGAGAACTTGTCGGTCCACTCCATTCATACCGGACTTCTCAATTTTGGCCTGACCTCCCCAGTCGGACCAGTACATAAACCTGCCGAAAGACACATTCAGTACCAACCGGTTAGACATGTGCAATGACAAAGTCCAAATGTACAACAATTATGTAACGGAATCGACTTTATTCTATAACAAAATGCCTGCGTCTGACTCTCTATCTCATTTACTTTACAACAAAATCAAACTTTTACTTTTGAAACAGGCTTTAAACTGCTGGTACTGGAAACGTTGTGTGTGTGTGTGTGTGTGTGTGTGTGTAAAGCTTCATTAATTTGCATGCATAGCATACCAGAGCAGTCTAGCTTTGTTGAGCTGTGTAAATAGTCCTTTTGAGAACTCAAGGCAAAGGAGACAAAGAGAAGCCAGCGGGTAGAGTAGACGGGAGTTACATCTCGTCTCCAAATACATTTAAACTTCTTAATCTAACAGAAGGCTTTGAATACGTTGATACGGTGTGGTGTAAAGCAGAATTTAGACCACCCATCTTTTCCTACATGCTCGTCCATCCCGCCTCTCCTGCTGCCTCCATCCTTCCCTATCCTCTCCCTCAAGCTCTCTCCTTGTGCTTGGTCCTTTCATCAAAAATCTCCCCCACCTTTAAACCTTTCCTACTCACCCTTGGTGGGGATCGACTGCGATGGCGCGCGGCTCGCTCAGCTCAGTGGCTATCAGTACTTTCCTCTTCCTGCCGTCTCCCGTGGCAACAGAGATGCTTTTGTTGCCAGAGTCGGTCCAGTAGATGTTCTTGTGGACCCAGTCGACGGCCAGGCCCTCGGGGGAGAGGAGCGAGTCGATAAGAGTCAGGTGCTGTGACGAGTCACTGGCCTTGTTGATGTAAGCACTGTTGAGTAGTAGAGAAGATCTGTGTGAGTCAATGGTGTGGAAATCATGAAGGACACAATCGTTTAGGAACAGTGGGGAAATGAGCGGCCGTAGATACTCTGTTGCAAGTGGTGGGGAACCGGCGTTCTTCACTAAGACAACGTCAGGGGCGCCTAAACCTGACCCTTCCAAACTAGACCTCAGGCCTCCCACAAAACAACAACAAGGAGAAATAGTCTGTCTTTTTCAAACACCCTGGCTCTCGATCGGTTTTTGTCCCTCTCCCCCTGTCTTTCTCTCTCGTCTTCTCAATCCCTTGATAATGTCCACTATTTATGTCCCCATTTAAGCCATTTTATTCTCTTTTACCTTCATTGGCAAATCGATATCTTCGCTATACAGACATAGTGATATAAAATAAGACAATATGAGACAACCCTGTTAGTTTGTCGGAAAATGCAATGTCCCAATTCATACCCCGATGTCACACTTTGGGAAGCCGGGCAATAATAAAGGCAACAAGATACGAAAGGGAGGAGCAGCTTAACTGAAGGCCGCTGAGGTAGTTGGAGCGAAAGATGGGGTGGAGATGGATGAGTGAGCGACTTGGAAGCAGCTTGTGTTGTTAATAGGCTGTTTTCCACCGCGGACATCTTCATCTGTAGGAGGGGAACTTAGCTTGCTGCTCTCTTGTGATGGATCATCTCTGGCGTTTTGCTCGTGCGCCAGGGTTAATAGACCTGACCCAACACCTGCCTCACACTCAGCAAATCAAAAGGAGGTCTGTAGCGAGCTTGTTGGTGCAACAGTGGTCAATGTCAAAACTGCAGCTGAGGTATAAGACGCACCAGCCGTGACTTGTATCCTGCATTGTAACTTATAGTCATTGATATCCAATTTTCAATGTAATAATCACATCATAAACCCATAAACTCTTTTTACAGACCTAGTGTGGATTATTGTGGGTATTTCATGCTTAAAATATACTTACTTGCAGAGAGTATTGTATTATTCATCACGTCCTTGTTTATTAATGGATTGATAGACAAAGAGGTCAGAGGGAGGAATAGAGGACTGTTTGGACTAAGAAAAGAGTCTTCAATGGAGGAGTCCGTGAGACAGAGCACATTGCTTCTTTGATTGGCTTTATTATTCTTTGTAACAAACATCTCCATCCCAGGGAGGAGATAGAGGTTCATTGACCCGTAGCTTGCTAATTACAATGAATTAAGTCTGGAAAACCACAAAGTCAGAGTGAGGGACAATGAGGATGAACCGCCTTTGAATACACAGCTATTTCCATTTGGTAAAATGCTTCTAGTCAGAAGAAAAAGTACTACATTGGAAGTTAAGTAATTCTTGAATAGAAGGTAGAATCAATGTCCGTAGCATTAAGATTCAAGGAATTTAGCTATTTAAAACAGGAAAGCATTCTTGACTTAAATATGAAAAAAATAAATGATAAAAGTGATAAAAGAACAACTACAATCAACCTAGAAGTGGCTTTTGCATTTGCAGTATTTGGATGTTCTTTGCAAAGAGACTTTGATTTCTAAATGATTTCTTTCTGTTAGTTGACTTAAAACAATCTCAACGCCTGCATTGATGTCGTTGATGCTTCTCACAAATGCATTTGCTTTTTCTTTCATGTATCTTGGTAGCAAGGTGGCAACAGAATGGAGGAAGACGACTTCACCATTCGTAATCCTGCTGACAGAACTCGGGTTAAGAGGCTAAAAAAAGGTAAATCCATATTTGCATCTGATATAGCTGTTGTGTAGTATAATTGTGTGGTATTGTTACTTTTAAGAAGGCCAAATAATTTAAACCATTATCAATAAAGGAGCAGCTGATCTTAAAGGTACTTCGTCATAATGACCTGTTGGGATTGTCCTTCAAAATGATATCGTGCAACATAAGATGAGTGTTGTTTCTTTGATGTTTGATGTAATAATATTGTTTTTTTCAATGAATGACTCAAATACAACCAACAAAAAGCTGGATTCAACTCTATTAATGCAGGTGTTGCCGGCCATGTGAAGTGTCTGTGTGTGTGTCTGTGTGTGTGTGTGTGTGTTTGTTTGCGATTTCCAAAGAGGAGTTCATCATTACGAATGAGTTCATTTGTCCTTTCTCTGTCAGAAGCCCTCGAGCAAATCCCTGAATTAGTGTGGAAGTGTGCGGATGTGCATTTGTGTGTATACAGATGAGTAATGGTGGTGATTATTGAGGCAGCGAAATTAGAGAGAGCATATGGCTGAAATGATAGAAAGCTCCTCCCACTAGCTGGCAGCCATAAGGGGGAATAGCGCGCACACACACACACACACACACACACACGACAAACCTACATTATGTGTGTGGGTGTTCATATGTTTGTGAAGGACAAACAGTTAACCTTTTAAAAACACAGCCCTCAAGGTATGATATGCACGCACGCACACGCACACACACACACACACACACACACACACACACACACACACACACACACACACGTGTTGCTGTCTTATTACCAGAAGTGTGACACGTTGAAGCAGACAAAGTGGATGGAGGAGAAACAGAATGACAGAAATAGGAACGATCATGATTCAAACTCTCAAAGTCCTGATTCTGCACGATGCCATGTCACGTGTGTGTGTGTATGTGTGTGTGTGTGTACCTGTATATTTTACGATGATATAGATCACACCAGAACATCTTGTTGGTGGACACGTCTACATCCAGGGCCACTGCGTTCTTCAGCGTGGGAACCACCTGCGTGTATTCACTCTTCAGCAGGTCAATGCGACGGATCTCGTGCCGGTTGGTGAACATCAGGTACGGACTCTTTCCTGATGGAGAGGGAAATACATTCACGCCACGATCATGTATGAGTATGTCTCCTGAAAAAACATTCGATGCCAATCATTTATAACGTGACCTGGGTGGAAAAATCCCAGGAGATGTGATCTGCAGCTCCCAAACAGATTACATTTTACATCCACGTCATCCAACTCTACTAGACATGTGCCATTTGCAAAGCTGCCAATCATAAGCGTGTTAGTGCACACGTGACCAGGAAGCATTTCATGATCTTGAAAATCCTACATGACATGCAAATATAAAAAGACACATCTCAAACCTGTTTGAAAGGAGAATCTGCATGTTTTCATCTTGCGGTTCAACCCACGCTGTACCGGAGCCTGAGACAGACCGGGTCACATTGTGCTGCCCACTACAGATCTATTGTCATTGTTTTTAATCAATCACAAATCAATCAGGGAGCTCCCGTCCTTTTTTGCTCTGTACATGTACTTCATCACCAATGTTAAAAAGCTTCCCATTCAGCTACAGACAAACCATGGGTGGTATCGAGTGCTGATTTTTATCACCAAGAGAGATAATCAAGGTTTTGTTTTGTACTATGAAGGTTCTACACACATGCAACTGTGATCATGTAAGCTTAAGTAAATAATCAAAATAAAAGGATTTAAGGACAAGAAGAGTAACTTTCTGCATACACGCACATACTTTGACACAACACAATGCCGTTAAGTATTCACACAATTAAGCTCTGCAGAAAAGTAACGCATATATTAAGAAAGTTGTCTCTGACTCTAACAACTTGAAAAGGGCACAACCATTTAAAGAGTCTTTGAGCGTGTGTATATGAGTATTTGTCCTGCTGATAAAGTAATGAAGCAATACGCAGGTGGATAAATAAGATGTTACACATTATTCTATTTTTAGTACAACCCTTTACGTGTATGTTTCTGGGCTTCTCCTCAACAGCACGTGCGGTTGGCTGACGCATGCGTTACCTACTTTTCAGCAGGTCTCAAACATTTAAATAATTGTCAAGCAGTTAAGACGGTCAACGTCCTCTGTATTACACACAGGTTCAAAGGCGTGTATGCAAATGCATAATTAACGTGTGTGCTGGTCTGCACACGGCGGTGACAACTCACAGCACACTCTACACCCACAAAAGCATCGCAATTGTACACAATCACAAATCGCTAATAACATTCATCTAAATGTAATCCAATTAATTCCTTTATCTCAACAGCTCGGCTTCGCCTCCAAATGTTGTCTGTCGGCGTGCTGCTCTCTCTGTCTTTAAACTTTGCTCTCTCTCACACAAATACATCTTGTTTCACTCCATCAGCCGTCTCCTATCTGTTACATTACTCACCACTCCGCACTGTCCACTTAAGCAGAAATGGCACTTAGTTGAGCAACAGTCATACTGAAACACACACACACACACGCACACTTTCCCTCAATAGGAATCTTCAGTCTCGGCTACAGCACAGAAAATATTACATTACGACTACTGTTTGGATCCGATCCTTTTCCTCCGATTTTCCGCTGCATGAGAGAGCGAGCGAGAGATGTAGAGCGAGAAAGGGGGAAGACGCGAGTCGTGAAAGACGCAAGCGAATGCGATGGTCCATCTTTCGGTCTTTCTCTGTCTCCATCGTTCTCAGTCACTGATGGGACGCGGGTCGGGTGCTGCGCCACTCATGGAGAAATAAAAAGTGGGATGATTTAATTGGGAAGGAGGCAGGAGAGAAAGATCAACAGATCGGATGACCTGCGGGATAAAGAATCTGGGCTCGGTAGAAGAAAGGGGAGAACAATGAAGTCGGGATGAGAAAAGAGAAACAACATATATCGTTATTTCTAATAACGACAGAAAGGATCCGAGTTATCTTCATCAATCCCCTCGACCCATTTGTTCAAGACAACATCTGATATCCCTCATCACTGTAGTCACAGAAATATGTTCTTCATTAAATAAAAAAGCTGATTTTCCTCAGGCGATGACACCAGAGATGTCCTCAACCACTGAAACGTAATCTCTCCTCAATATTTCCTGGCAGAGCAACTGTCAGCTTTCTGAGCAAGAACAGGATCCCCAAGGTATATTTTAATCTGTAATGCCAGTTCAGGGCTGTTGGGCCCCGTTAGCCAAATAATACAGAGAAGAGACAAAAAATAGCATGGGAAACACCGTCGGGCCCTTAAGGCGCTGTGATTTGCACCAGAGAAGATTATTATTGTGCAGACGCAACGTAAGAACATAACAGATGGATGGGCTACACATAGGTTCGTGTCCGGGAGTAGGAAGTAGACACACATGGATAATAAGGCATAGACGGTGCATCAGGTAACAGAAATGGACCCTCTGTCCCATAGGTCATCCTGCCCGCTAGCATTCTTCATGCCAAAGCGAGTTAAGTACTCTTAAGTTATTACAATTTCAACATCACACTGACAGTTTTGAAGTTTGACCATTGTTTGACCAGTCATTGAAAGAATAAAAGACGGATACAATATATTCATTTATATGTGTGCATTTGTATTGTGGGTTAATATTACCACATTCTTAAAGCGAGACAGAATGAAATGTTATGTGCTTCTCTATCCACAGTATGAGCCAGCAGGAAAGACTGAGACAAGTTTCTGGAACATCTTGGGCCCTATGGCAAAATATTTTGACAATGGGAAAAATCTGACCAGTGCTTGAAAATCATTTTGAAAAGTGTGTGCTCAAACTGTCAAGTGTGGAAAAGAACTGCTCATGGCACTGTGGTTAAGTCAGCAGTGCTCTGTAGATGAGAGAGACAACGAGGAACAAAGTGAAGGAAAGAAGCAAAAAAACAAAAAAAAAGATTTCTGTCCACAGGCAGTTTGTAAACCTCCTCTGCATCGTTGTGACAGCGTGTCCTGTTGGAACAACCGGTTTGTTGGGTGGACCTGTAACGTCGGCCATGCTGTCACATCCTTCTCACCACACAAAACCTTTAGTTTGTAGGTTTTCCATTTTTATATAGGTGATTGTAGGGAGAGATGTTAATATTTGGTTGTTTAGCGATCCTAAACAAGCAGTATTTATATTCCATTATTACGGGCAGAAGTAGAAAACATATTTAGTATTTGTTTTGATTCCTAGTTCAACCCTTTAACTTAGATTTTGTTTTGTAGTTTTTATAATACAAATTTGAAACCTGGCAAAACCTTTTCTTGAGTAGTTAAATGTTGTGGTGGTGATAAAATAATGGTGACAATGACGAATAACACCAGAAAATCATTTATCTACTGTGAGGCGACCGGTGTGTCATGTTAATGCTTTCATATTTCAATTCCTCCCTTTCAGTCTTGGTCCTGCTCAAATCAATGTGGACCAACACAAAAATATGAATGACTCAAGTAGACGACTGCCACCTGCAATACCTGCTTAAAAGAGGCAACGTATGAGGACTCCTGTCTGGGACTTTTAATTAGCATTCCTATTGTTGCATATTACTCCAAAACTAATCAGCAAATCCAAACTCAGGTGTTCGAAGGGTAACTCTTCAACTCTTAATTATTTACACTGGCTTAACCTGCATTAATACAGCAAACACAAGTTGAGGAAATGGAGGGGAAAAAAGCGCATACGTGCCATTGTGTTCAACTTTCAGATGACATTGTGTTTTGATGTGTGGCCCAAAGATAAAAGCACAAATACCAGCCATAACTGTGTAATTTTAATCAGAACTCTGCCAGTGCTGTATCTCATCAAAGAAGCTGTCATACCTCCTATCCAGTGTCTGTGTGTTACGGTCAATGAGAGTCCTCTAAATAAATGCTTGTTCAAATGTGTAACGTCATGGAAAAAACAAGCAAGGTTTTAAATTGCAAATGCTGGGATGGTGTGGCAATGATAAAGAATTGAGTTAGAGTGTCTCACACCGATAAGGTGCCAGTCTTTAGAGACTTGTTGTTGTGTCTCTGTAGAGACACAACAAGTTGGTTTGGAGGCCACCTGTAGGTATAAGAACTGCCTGGCCCTGTTATGGGGGAAGGAAAGTTCTTGGCAGTCTACTGAGCACGTAGCTGTTGTGACCTTTTTTTCCCTTGCAAGGAAATAAACAGAGAAAGACATATTCGACTCAGAGCCTTATTCTTATTTGCCGATTGTCTGTGCAAAATCTTCCACAACAGTAACTTGAATCCCAAATTGTACATGCATGCTAACGTGTGCGGCCATGCTCATGTGTGATTGGGTGCACATACGAGCGTCTAGGAATGAGCGTCCAGGGAAACACGGCTTCGATGGGTCCATATTATCTCAACTTATCTCTGTATTTATGGTCCCGTCTCTAGTTGTGTCTCTGAATAAATAACCAACATAAATAACCACAACGTAAACAATAATCCTGTCACGCGTTGGGTCTCTTCCTCTTGATGCCGTCTCCGTTGGCACACAGAATGGACAGCGCGGATACATCTCCACATTACCTCAATGAGCCCAGAGACATCCATCCATCCATATATCTCCTTTCCCCTGCTGCTCGCCAATCCTCTATTCTAATAAATGTCCCGGCCTCTAACAAGGACTGTTCGCACTGCTTAACAGATTAAAGATTCACACAGAGAAGCATGAAGTAATCAATGGTGTGTTTTTTATACCACTTAGTTTGGGAGTGAGTGTCTCTTTTGGCTTTAAACTCTCTCATTAACGGGCCAGTTCAACCTTTAATGATTCACCCAGAGCGATGGCAGTAATCACCAGTAACACTTTTTTTTTTTTAATTTGCGGTTTAACTCAATCAGTCAAAGGTTCCATTCTCAATCTAAGTAAATGTGTCGTTGCGAGGCATCGACACTGCCAGGGCCAGAGGTTATGTTTCCTGTAGAATTTATAATACGGTAGATCAAACACTGATTATTAACTGACTGTAGCTTCAATCCTCTCTGCAGTTACTCTTCTATTATTTTAAATGGAAAGGGTGTACATTTTTATATTACAGCAACAGCACAGATATTCTGCTCCAGCTAGTTTTAAAATACATAAAATCCCTACACATCAACATGGTCTGCACATTTAAATGGTTGTAAGAAACTGAGGATCGGGGGTGTCAAAAAAAACGCTGAATTGACATGAAGCCTTTCAAAAGGAACTTTTATGTGCAGCTAACAAGCCGGTGCAGTTGCATCTTCTCCCCGGGATTTAGGCGGACCATTTCCCAGCAACGACCTTGCCTGGTGAGACCAGTATTGCATTTTCATTCATACCACTGCTCAGAGTGTTTACCCAGGTCAACGAGAGGCGGGACCCTGCTCGAGTCAGGCCCCCTCCCCACACAACCGCCTTCCCTCGACACTCCACAGAGAGCAGCTGGCTGCAAACTTTTCATTAATGAGACTTGCAGGAAAAAGTGGCAAATATTTATCTTTGCACAGATTGCTGTGCACGGCCTCCATACTAAGCAAGCTTCTTGTTTCTCAGAAAGTGTGAGAATATTGTGCGATGCAACGTCTCTTTAACGGAAGAGCAATGGTGTACACCTGAGCTGGTTTTGACACGTGATTCCTTTCAAGTACGCGTGTTCTCATGTCCGTATTGTATGTGAGGACATCAGTCTATTCAGTGAGTGTTTGATAAGTGACTCACCCACAGCTTTGCAGGTCTTAGAGGCAGGGTCCATCTCGTAGCCTTCGTAGCATTCACATTTGTAATCGCCTTTGTAGTTGATGCAGATCTGACTGCAGGCATCTGGGTTCTCGCATTCATTGATGTCTGTGTGGAGAAACATGGCAGAGATGTGACGTTTAAAACAACAGACACAAGTCAATTATGCCCGAGTTAAGAGTGAGAAATAAGAGATAAATGTAATCTATCCATCATGTTAACAATCTTTCTCAGAAGAATCTGGACTTCAAATGAAGTCTCTGATCCTTCAAATGGATTTGAAGGACTTATCTTAGCTATGAGAACAAAAATATGTGTGCTTGCTACTGGTTTAATAGTAATGAATAATTGTGTATTCATCTTATAACCAGAGCTATGCAAAGTACATAAAATAATAATGTTGGCATCATATATGTTGGGTGGTAAAGAGTTCTGTTTGTTTTCTTCATGTGTAGCATCGACCCACCCATGAATCTGGGCTCTACCAATCCTTGACTCGTAGATTTGAAATTGATAAAATATGAAAATATGTATGCAATTAAGTGGCTTGAAAAAAAAGTTGTTTTTGCGCCAGTTTATTCCTGCTTCCTAAAATAATCACATTTCCCAAAACCTAATGCTAAAATATATGATTTTTACCGTAATATCTATAATATTTTTCAATTTATCTGCATTTAAGGACGGCTTCAGGCACAAAATGACCATCGATTATTAGACTTGTGTTGACATCCTTTTACAAAGTGTCATACCCAGTATGTGATGATGTAGTTTTTCTGCTGTTAAACACGGCATATACATCAATTCATCAAGACTCTTCTCTGGAGACTTGCAAGAAAAGTTCTACCCAAATATTCAAGATAAAAATGTTTACTGACTAATATATAAATAATTGTTTTGGGGGGCTGACATTTTTTTTTGTTGCATAACTTGTTTCTTTACCTCCACATGTCTTTTTGTCCAGGAGTCGATATCCAGAGGGACAGTCACACTCATAACCAATCCTCCGGTCCTTGCAGATGTGGGAGCAGCCGCCATTGTTGTCCACACACTCATTGAGGCCTGATGGGAGGGCGGGCAGCAGGAGGACGGATAGAGGACGAGGCAGGCACGAGACGGGAGGGAAGACAGGCAGAGTTGAATATGAATTCACTCCAACAAACTCCACAGTTCGACAGAAAGACAAACGCCAAAAGGCAACATCCTGCCAGTTGGAATCACCTGGAATCAATCACGTATATCTACAATGATGCCCATTGTTTCACATAAAGTCCTTCATCACCTCAGTTCTGTCTCTCCATTTGCTTTTTTTTTTTGTATTTCAGAATAGAACAGATTGGACCTCTTCTCAGTTATACTACCATTAAAATTGTGTCTTTCTGTATCCTTTTCTGCTCCGCCATTCATACCGTTGTCGTTTAACTACCCTCCAAGTAGAGGGATCGCTCCTGAAAACTAAAACTGGTTCTCCATTACCGGCTTACATTACGGATTTAAACTTCAAGGCTGCAGGTTGTAATGAGAGGCAGTGAGACTGGGAGAAAGAGAAGGCAAGAATAAAAGGGAGAGACACTGAGAGAGAAAAGAGTTTAAGAGACATTTGTCTAAAATTATAATTGCAATTATTAATTGTTCATGTTCTATAGCCAAAGTATTCTATGAGATAACAACAAATCAAACTGGTGTTAACATAATATTAATGAAAGTGAAAATATAAAATCTTACTTCAACTAATTCTTTTTAGCAGGACAGCTACATATTGTACTATTATTAGGTATGTGTGAAGGAGGTTTATGGAAAAAATTGGGAGTAAATACCTCTCCACATACTTGTTCTAATAGAAGTGATATGTAAAAAAGTCTCCCTCTTTGGGGAATATTAATACCGTATGAATTATATCGGAGACAATTTGCGGTACAGGAGTGAGAAGTTGTTATAATAGTATTTTAATACACAGGGTTTTGAGGCAAGATGTTAAACCACATGGGTGCAATGTTCAGATGCCCATATACTTTGGGTTTTACCATTAGCTGGGTATTTCTTTCAATTGGGTATTTATTTAATTTCCCAATTTTGTTCTAATAATATACATACATGTTGAGCATCCTGCCTTCAGTTTCACGTTATAATAAACTGTTGGCATACAATGCATGAATAAATGCAGCAATGCACCATCAAATTCAGGGAAGAAGGCTGCTGCCAAGTGAATGTAAAAATGCATGATTGCAAATGTTTTATCAGCCAGGAAACGCATCATCTTGAACCATTTTACATGGCCTTGGTTTTTGCCGTGCATAGGAGGCGTTGCAGGTCTGCCCTGAGCCACACTGAACACCATGTTTAACATTAATGATATGGTTACAAGTCAATCTCATCACGGCGTACATCCGACTACCTGGAGACCAGAGTTCGCTGAAACATATCACATATCATTTTACAGCCATGTGACGGGCTTCTACTTTACAGCAAAACCATAAGTGAAAAGCAGATTCACAATTAATCTCTTGAGTCTTCTGCTTCAGTAGCGTATATACGATAGGTTTCAAATTACACTGAATGAATAGCCAAGGTTTTCCCAACTGCTTCCCTTGGTGTGCAGCCGGATTGCACTGCTTGTCATGTGAGCTCCGTGACTGAAGTTCGGTAAATGGTAATTATCTACGGTGCAGAGATAATCCGTGTGGTTCCATGTGGGTAACGCAGTCCGGTCACGTTTCCGCGGCTCAGATCGCACTAGAGGGCAGAGTCGCCTGGTTCTTTGATCTTAACAAGGCCTTTGAGAAATGCCTTGATAAAATGAAGCTTCTTTTACCAAGATTAGTGACCGCCCACTTTACGAAGAAGTAGTTTGAGGATGCATCGGTATATAAGTGTATACGTACATCCATGTATGCAAGGGCTCAATTACTAATGACAGTCTGGGTGTGTAGGTGTGTGCAGAGAAACAGAGACTAATTACCACACTCCTTCATGGGTTCATCAGACCAGTCCTTGCAGTCTTTCACGTTGTCACACACCTTGCTGCGGTCTATACACTCCCCGTTCTTACAGCGAAACTTTCTGGACCCGTCACACTTTGTAACTGCGGTGGAGAGACAACACGATGTTAAAGATCAGCTTTGTATTTACTGAACTACATCTCTATTCGGCTCGAAACACACAACGCTCAGGTACTTAAGTAGATGCCCTTAGCTGCACTCACACCAAAACCAGGCATTGCGTCGATTTGGAGTCATGTGATTGTGGGGAGTGCATTTGACGTGTGGCAAATGGGAAAGCAAGGGTTGCCGGGAAAAAAAGAAGCCTGATTTGGCGTGAATGCAGCTTTAAATGCATCCCGCAGAGTCTAAACAGATTAGTATTCTGCAACACACGGTGACATCTAAATGCAAATTACTAACACATCATGATTGGTAGGGCATTCCCATCCATTGGGGGTACTTTTCTCTTTATTTTCTGTGTTTATTAGGATTTAGGTAAGAGTATGTGCAAACAATACGGTGCTGCATTTTAAAACACTCCCTTGGAGATAAAGTTCACAGCCAATCAACCCTTGAGCTTTTTGTGTGCATATATATATATATATACACGTGTGTGTGTATGTATGTACAAAATACATGTTGACAAGTTGTTTGCGTGTTCGACAAGCCATACTCATCGAACACCTACCGTTGACACAGCCAGCTTCATCACTATAGTCCGGACAGTCGTGAACCTTATTACACTGCTTGGTGCCGTGAATACAGGATCCATCACCACACTGGAACTCATCAGGTCGGCATGTAAGCAGGGCTGAGAAACACAAACAACACATGCTTATATATTGTTGATATTTCAGTGAAAATATCATGTATCGGCCTCCTTCAGGCCATAGTTTCTTTTTTTCAACCGCGTCGATGAAAATGTGCACGTGTGTTTGTGTGTGTGTGCAGTATCCGTTTTGCCTTCTTTAATCAGGCCAACTTGGGAGTGCATTCCAATCCAACAATAATCAGTCATCGTACCTGCAAAGAAAAGGCCCCAATGGAAATGAAAAGCAGGTAGGTAGTCATTCACTGTCCCAAAACCCAGATCCAGTGACCTATTGAGTGTGTGTGTGTTCGTGCATATGAGTTTTTGTATGAGCTTGGTCTAATGTCGAGGACAGGTTTATTTAACTAATTTATCTTTTTAACTGGCTGTTTAATTATTCATGCGTTGTCTATTGGACTGGCTCTACCAAGGGAATGGAGGTAAACATGATTGTTGGCTTGGGAGGCCAATGAGTGGATGGATGACTATCGCCACAATAACACACACGCACTCTGTTTCACACCGACATAAGTGCACGTGCAGAAGCAGCAATGAGTACAGACTGTAATGTCATGCGCGAGACCCGTGTCCCTTTAGATGAACACAGATAAACTGACCCTAATGCTCAAGCTACAGCGAACGAAAAACACAAGCCAGAATCAACAAAGTGAAGAGTTCTTAATCACGTGCTGTTAATAAAATTAACTAATTGTGGAACTCAGCTGATTATGATAAATCCCTACAAATAGTGATAATGGATTTCGATGTGTATATTTGCTGGCAGGAGGCATTTCTCATTAACATTACCTCCTGTCACCCTTCTCGCAGACACTGTTCTGCATGTCTGTGAAATGAGAACGGATTATGGAGATGGATGTTTCAAATAAGATGGGAGATAACCAGGCAGCGCGTCTGTGTGAAAGCTTGACGGAATAGAGGAGGAGACAACAAGCCGGACGTAAGCAATCATTCTCACATGACACACATTGAAATCTTGCAGCTCCCCAAGCTGAGCTTGCTCTCTCATTTACATTTAAGCAGACATCAAAAACTATTACATCTTGTTTGACAAAAGCCTCCAACCGCCCACGCTCATTCAAAATGTGATGCATGCACACACTATCATTATTGTCAAACAGAATCATGTACATGGGTTTTGTCTTTCTTTAACCAGCAAGCTATGCAGATTTTTAGAATGTATACAATTCAACAGTGAAGCTAACAAGCTAAGCTTATTGATTAGCTGAATGTAGTAGAAATTATAACTTTAAATTATTAAAAGGTACAATTGAGTAGGGTGATGGATAACTGCATCTAGTTTACAATTTTCGCTTTAGTTAAGAAACCAAGAGAGAGGGGCCTTTTTTTTTTTTTTTACGAGAACGTCTATTTGCAACTAGAAGAGTTTCCACCAGTCAGTCTGTAGTGAGAACACAAGCTTTAAAACACTTCCATATCGCCTTCAACTGGCAGAACCGAAGCTTTCCGCCTGGTTAGAACACTTGCTTCTGCCCGAGTCTTCTGTGAAAGTGTGTGTGTGTGTGTGTGTGAGTATCATGTCTTATGTGCGAGGCTGCTGATATCTCACTGAGAGGTATGTGGGAGTGTGAAGAGGAGACCAGATGGGGGTCCCACTTAATGAAGGACATTCACATCCCACACATGCGAGCACGTACACACTCTCTCACAGGCAAACGCACATGGTCAAACACACCCCACAGAGGTTTCATGGTTGCATTGCAACGCACTCATAGATCATCAAGTTAGCATTGATCTTCCTTCAATCACTTTGTCGCACAACAATTTCGGTCTTGTAGTCTTTTTTCACAACACAGGGCATGTCAGCCTTTGAAGGACATTCCTTCAGTAGTGGTCACACACACACCAATGTTCCACAACACATTGTGTGTATGCATTAATTAAGTACATTAAGTCCACAGCTGGTATAAACTCCTCACATTAAGCAAGCAACTAATATTAAAAAACACACATACACACTGTAATACATAAAAGAACCATAAGACAGTAATTGGATAACATATTTCTTAATTACAATGAGCAGCTCAGAATTAATTCATGAGCAAAGCTTTGTCCCTGAGACTAAATACAGTCTTGAAGTTGTTTCTGTCAAAGGATAACCAAAGCATTGGGTTTGATGAGTGATTATATGTTTTGGCTACACAGGAAATAATTGCTGGTCCATTCAGTGTTTCTTAGTAATAATCAAAAAGCAGCATTATCCTTTTGAGGAGATGTCCAGATATTCTTTATCCACCCGTCTCCACATAAATACAACACATCCGCAGATGACTTACGACAGTTTGCTTCATCCGATTTATCCTTGCAGTCCGCGTCTCCGTCACACTTCCAGTTCATGTGGACACACTCCCCGCTCCCGCACAGGAACTCGCCCACTGGGCAGCGAGGTTTTTGGGGCTCCGTCCTCCGACTGCAGCGCTCCATGGACTCGTCCGATTTGTCCTTGCAGTCCGGGTCGCCGTCGCAGCTCCACAGGGCGGGGATGCACTCGGAGTCGTTGCAGCGGAACTCGTGCTGGCCGCAGGTGGGCGCCGAGCACTTCACCTCGTCGCTGGCGTCCCCACAGTCGTCGTCGCCGTCGCACACGAAGATCGGCGCCACACATTTGCCGTTGAGACACTGGAAGTCTTTGGAGGGGCACGCCTGGGCATCTACAGGACGGATGGGACAGGTAGATGATTTTAAAAATTGTACTTTTCATAAAGGAAATCTTTCGATTGAATTTAACAGACAGGGTAAAAAAAAAAACTATTAGAACTAATTGTGTTTTAGTGCACATGGTCAGTAGATCAGGAAGATATGTGAGCTAGAGTACTGAAATAAATGATATAGCGTCATATATTCAAACTGCTTAGGGGAATAGGGATGTAGCCAGTTATACCTCATCCCTTCTCTAACTGAAAGAATGTATTATTCAAAGTTAGTTAATGAGCAGTGGGGACTTCCAGATGTTTCCTCATTTGCTGCGGGACTTTTGATGTCTGGTGATGGTTCAAGCTCCAAAGTGACAAAGTGCATGTTGCTAACGAGCAGCTCCTTTAGACACACATTCCTTGGAAGTATCACAGAGAAACACGTATAAGTTGAAGGAGAGCATCAAGAAAAAAAGTTGCGTACTCGAGAGCATAAATGCAGCAGAAATCCAGTGTGTGGAAGCAGGTGTGTGATGAGTAGAGTTGGGGCACAGCTGTGGCTGTCTGCTGCTGTGTAAACCCCCCGCGAGTGTTTCTGTGGGAGAAAATCCTTGTACAGAAACACCTGCGATGATTGCGCATATTATCTGCTCATGTGTTCGTTTCTCCTCCTTGAGGCGTCTCAAGATTCCCGTGAATTAAAGAAAACTACAATGATTCCGCATGCATGTGTGAGGGTGGGCGAAAACTGCGTGTTTCCTCTTTACTATATATGCCAGCAGCAACATTATGTAATTCCAGCCAGGTTGGGCAAATCAATGTGAATCATGTAATGTGCTAAAAAAAAAACACTTTTGTTTTGAAGTAGCACTCTTCTCTGGGCGACCGACATAACTTTACTCTCTCTCTCTCTCTGTGTTACCTTCCCACACAGTGCTCCTAAGGGGCTCATTATGATAATAGCCAATAGGGTTCCCTGCTAGCTGTTAGTAATAGCATGCTAATCATCTGCACTCAGATGTAAGTAATTTAATTAACATGAGCACATAAACAACATCAGCATCCTCCCAGCAGAGGCTCAAGTGGTTTGGGGGTCACGTATGGTGTTATCAAAGTATAAAAGTTATTTTTTAAATAGAATTTAAAAAAAAAAAAATCATACAAGCGACAAGAGGGTTTTTGTTTATGTAAATCATAAATATATATTTACTTAATCCCAGAGGTTACATACTTTTGAAACTGTTTTTGTTCACAATACTGCTTTGAAGTTATGGAACATTTTTAATGTTTTGGGCCATCAGAGATTTTTCACATTTGATCCCATAACTCTGGTGCTCTGTGCTTCAGAGAAGATGATCACACCTACCCAGCCTGCACAGGTCCACTCAGTGTGCTGTCTTTGCTTTCACCTATTCCATCTCCTACCAATCCAACAAAGTCTCCCTGTTCCCAACAGTTCGTGCAGAAATAAAAGTATCATCATCTTGTTTTTTGCCTTTAAGGAGTTCCTCCTTGCCTTGCTTGACAATGCAGAAGTTTTCCTTTGAAATGAGATGGTTTGAAATGTAAAATTGTTGTGCATAAGATACATGTGGAAATCTGCCTGATTGCCTCTAAATTATTGATATGATTTACTTAAAAGACATTTGTCATGTATTTACGCTGATTTTGCTCTCTTTCAGGGTGAATTCCAGACAGAGCAAAGGGTCACATCCTCTGTGTGACACGTCCGTCCCTCGATGCTGGCACCTGGCTGTGAAAGCTGAAGAACGCCAAAGAGCCTTTAGTTCATCACTCAGTGAAGACGGTCCATTGCTTAACAATCCCAGTAACTCACAATAAATGTCTCCAAAATTCTACACTACCCCATCCCCCTTCTTAAAGGGGAATCTGTGTTTAATGCACAGCTACAGTCCAACACATCCATTCAATGGATTATTCTCCCCTTTTCCACCTGCAGGTGTTTGACCCGCGGTTGAAGCCTTCCATCCATTGTCAGACCCTTCACTGGACAGCTAGTAGATGCTACAGAGACATAAGGTGCAGCTCCATGACCTTGATTTGAAGGACGATCTCTCCCAAACACAACAAAAAAAGACTAACACACACATGCAGGTGGGCATTAAAATCTGATGCAACCGATGCACTTTGGCACGCATACAAACACAAATGTAATAGTTTGCAGTGGCATTATAGATGCACATACATACGTGTACACAAATGGATGAATCAGATGAAAAGTACACTGCAACAGCTCAAGGCATTTGCGTTCTGAGGGGAGGCTTAATGGGCCGAATCGTAGACAAGCGGCGTCTTCATCTACTATATGAAATATCAATATGGATGCCTTATCTTTCACACAAGAGCGTCAATAAAAAAACAAATACGTGTTGAGTCATGCATGCCTTTTACTGTCAGGTACACAAGAGTAATTGAAAAAAAAAATTGGCATCTATATTCATGATGAATGATGTGTATGTTTTCATCACAGCTGTGCAGGATGTATAACGTAGTGTTCACATGTAGCTGGGCAGGGCATCAGACAGGTGTTCTACTAGTTTGAGGGCAGCCTGAGACTGGTGTTTGTTGCATGACCCGTCACTTTGCATTGAAAACCAAACCTGAACAGCAGGATCCTCCCCAGCAAAACAACGGCAAAATGTCATCCACCGAAAAAAATCCATCCGGGACTAAATGCCCTTTTCCAACGAGAATAAAGAGGCAAGGCAAAGTGGGACTGTGCAGAGCAGCAATGGTGATGCATGATATATTCATGCAAGTTGATATAAGTGGTATTTTCCTCTTCATGCGCGATGACAACTGACGAATTGAAACAAATGATGCATTGCAACAATGCTTCCTAAATACCAAGCAAGCTCACTGTCAAGATCTCCGTAATGATGGCTGACCCGCTTCACCACCTCAACAAATATTAGAAATGTGCAGGAATTGCAGTTCTTGAGTAAATAATCTGTCAACTGACAACACCTTTTTTTATGACAAAAAGAAAGCATCTTTCAACTGCATAAAATTAATGTTGAAATTATTATCTTGCATTGAAACGCTCCAGGGTGCTCAGGCACATCTTTGCGTATTGACTCAGTGTATTTAGAACACTCGCCTAATGTGGCATTTGCAATGTGTAAATTACCATTACACTTGATATTAATAAATCAGCCTAACGCTAAAGGAAGATGGGTGCCAGGGACGTTGGCATCCCTGCATTTGTAAAAAGATTGTTGTGTTTTGCATCGCTCTAGAAATGTGAGCCTGCCACTTTGATGGGGATTTAACACTGAGGAGCTTAGGAGGACAATATGGAAAAAAAAGTGTTTTTAGATACATACTCTGAATTCAACACATCCTGCAGGAAGACCAGATTTCCCTGTGTGTGTGTGTGTGTCTCTCTCTCTGAAAACACACAGGCAACTTGACATGCAGTCCCTCTCAAGGGGTCTCACAAAGTGTTATCAGTGCTTTGGCTACATTAGAGCTTTGAAGCAACAGCTCCGAGTGGATGGCAGCGTGCACACAGACATTCCCCAACAACACCAGACAGACAGGCCCTAAGCCCTCGGCTCTTCCACTTGCTCCTACATAAAAGTGATCTTCTTTTCCTAATGGAATAGATAGACAGACAGCAAGGAGAGAGGAAATACACAATAGATTCCTCACTGACTGACAAACAGAAGGCAGCTTCAGAGAAAATTCACCTTCCAACAACGCGGCCTGATGGGGTTTACCAGGCAGAGACGACCCTGGGTTCCCAGCATTGGTTGGAAACTGTTGTGCAACGTGTCCGTCATATCTTTTTTGGTAAAAAGTGAATATAATACAACATGCTGCAGTCTGGGTAGAGACATTTTGAACGATATTAATCCCTGCAAGTTAACTGGATGTGTAATAGACAGATGACACCATATATAAAGATGACACCTTACTTGTTCAAGACAAAATGCTTCTGAAGTGTTAAATTGTGTGTTGAGGTTCTCCCAGCAAACTGCAGGTTTTGAACATGGCATTTTGTTAATATTATTAAATAAAAAGGCCTTTTGTTAAAAAATGCATTCATTCCCAAAATTGTCAAAACCATGTCGAAATAAGGCTGAAAGTCTAGATTTATAACACATTCTCACCTCGGTGCCTCACTATGAATCCAACCATGAACTGTTGAAGTTTAACTTACAGGCTTTTCTATTCAGTCGTGCTAGTTGGATTGTCTTTGCTCAGAGGAAAAACATGTCTAGCTGGGTGTGAAAAGACAAGACGCCTCACTTCTCACTGTGGTGTGACAGAAGAACCTGGGGAATCAAAGTGAAAGAGCAGCAGGGAAAATAGCAAAGAAATCACTGAGACTGAGACTCTGTTTAACCTGATTTGTACACACCAGGGAGAGACTCTCTTAACCACCGTCTCTCTCTCTCTCTCACACACACACACACACACACACACACACACACACACACACGGTCTACTGAATAAAACAGGATATTTCAATAGCTCAATCACAACGGGATCTGACAGCAGCTTAGACTGGAATAATAACTGCCTCACAAGCAATACCATTTTTAATGTGTGTGTGTGTGCGTGCGTGTGATGAATGCTGTTCATCTATGTGTGTAATGCTATCTCATCCTTTGTGGATGCCAAATGTCCAACATATTTCATATATCAAATAATTTAAGCCATTAAATGGAGGTTGTGACACGTCATCACTCTCCCCTTGTGGCTCTGTAGTCTTAAATCTTAAAAGTACCACTAACATGCCAAGTACAAATACATGGACACACACACACACACACACACACACTCATTCTGAATGCCTGTCGAAAAACTAATTGCATTCTCCTCAATAATTGCAAGGTAGTAAATCTATGAATACATTAGAAATCGAGATGTAATCATTTGACAGAATGACAATAACCTATCAACATGTTCTCCTGCATTTGAACAAGATGATAATTACATAATTTGAGATGGCCTCATCATGACAGCTTATCTATTTCTCCTGTTGATTG